CTTTGGCTGGCTCCCACATGCCAGACTGGGCACCTATCCCCATCTGCTAATTTGGAACAAAATAGAGGTGGAACTGCTCTTCTCAGATGAGTCATAAATTGGTTTGTTGGAATATCAGGCATTTCTGCATCACCTGCCTCATCTGAAACAGAATCTTGTCTTTCAAAGAACAGTGCTTGCAGTTCCTCAGACCAGGGTTTCTGTTTGTTTGTTTGAAACTTTCATATTGTCCTGGAATAGAATGACAGCTTGCAAGTACTGTTGCAAAAACATTTGGGTCACAAATTTCCCAGAAGAAATGTAATATTTTTCCACTTAATTTAATAACTTCATGTGGGCCTCTGGGATGAAGAGATTCCTCAGTGTCCTATGCATTCTTTGACATGTGGCTAATGCAACATGCTTTCCTAGGGGGGTGTTTTATAGAAAAGTCACCTTCTGCTAGGAAAACAAAATAACAACTCAATTAAAAGAAACAATGAAGGTCACACCAGTTTCTTTACTGAGGTGAAGCAGTGGAAAACATAAGCTGCATTTATTTTAACATATGGGACTTTCAGCATCATGTGGAAAACTCATTGATGTGGTAGAATTGTGTTTTAGGATGCCTCTAGAGAAAGACGTGATGGAATTATTAAAATTTGCAAGAAAATATATTAATCAGTCATGTGTTAGAGCATTCAGCCTGGAGGAATGAACACTTTTTTGGGCAGAACCAAACGGCCATGGGAATCATTGTCCCCAGTCTGTCACTGTCACTTGTCTGATTTTGGAGGAGTTACTTATGTCTCGGCTAAGCAGCGTAGAAACAGCTGAGCCCCAGGAGCAGCACGGGACCTTCAATGTGCAGATGTCAGGTATCAGAGTGCCCTGAGCATCCCCTGCCCACAGAGCAAGTACACCCATCCTGCAGCCATGCCACTGCTCTCATTAGCAAACCCCTCCTCACGGTCCCTTTCACAGCTGCCAAGGTCAGTGATCGCTCCTTGGGAGACTTTTAGGGCACTTTTAGGGGCTATCAGCCAAGTGACATCCCTGAAGGCAGTGGGTATAAATGTTCCCGGCTTTTTACAAAAATTAATAAGAAAGATTTTCCTCTCTTCCATGTTAATGCCAGGACCAAACACAAGCTGACCTTTACCTTTAAGCCTCATTTTTTTTCAATTGCAAAAGTGACTTGCTGTTTACTTCAGAATAGTATCAGTGAGACACAATTCATTAGTGCCTGGGGATTTCTTGGAGGTGCTGGGATGAGAGGAGCTACAGAAGTGGGCAGAATATCTCTTTCATTAGAATTATATGACAGTGCCATTGAGAGAGTTTTCTGGAAACAGTGATAGTAGATGATTCTTCCCAAATTACCACAAATATGCCCCCTTCAAAATCTGCTTTCAGGAGAAAATCTTTTCCAAAACTTGGGATATCTCTCAAACAGAAAATTCAAATGTGATTTATTTGACAAGCATCTCAGGTATGAAGTAGCTACATTTTCATAATCATAACTCTAAAATTTTCAGTCTATATTTCATAAGTGTACAAAATATATATAAAAAAAAGAAAACTCATTCTAAAAGAGAATGTATCCTCTCTTTTTCACTCTAAAAACCAGTTTTAATTTTAAAATAATCTGGAAATTTTGACCAGAGATGGAAACCCTCCCTTACAGAAAACTTATTCAACTACCACTTTTCTAAGCAATCCTAGCCGTTGTCAGATGACCAGCCAGCTATGGAAACAATGGGGTTCTGTAGATTTATTGATGTATGTAAAAATTGAGCCTTCAGGTTATTCTACATCTCTGTCAACTGTTCCATGCATGGTGACAACAACAAGCCTGCCAGAGGAGCTGCTTGATAAATGGAATAGCTAAAGTCTTCAGCCACATTCATAGTAGCATTTTATCCCTGTTTTTTTCTTGACACCATTCCTTGTCAGCTGTTTGCAAAAGCTATTTCTGAAATTAAAAAAAAACAAACAAACAAAAAAACCAAAAAACCCCATGGTCTTCCCTTCCTTCCTCTCTCTCCCCTCCTCAGAGATGGCAATCTGAGGTTTTGCTGAAGGCATGTGAAGTTACTCGTCAAGATACTGCAAATGTCACCTCACCTCCTTTTCATATGAGTCAGGAGAGTTAGAAAATCTGCACAATTATTAGACCCTAAGACAATATAAGACTCCAGAATTATTAGACTCAAAGACAGAATGCAGTAAAATTATTTAATGAGTGTTCCTAGTAACCACTTTTGTGCTCAGAATAAAACATGCAAACTCCTTTCCAAAGACTTGAAGCTAAGAATTTTAATAGACCAAATGGTTTGTTTCCCTAATGCATTCACCGAGTGCAGCAAGCTGATTAAAATACTGGGTACTGTAGAAGCTTTCTGTTTATGTTTATGCATAGTTTATGCATCATTAACCATGTATTACAGGTACACACAGCTATTTTACACATAAGGGAAAAAGAAAATAGAATTTGTACATGCAGGATGCTCATTTTAACATTTTCCTTTTGGAATGGTAAAAGGTAAAGAAGTTGAGAACAGGCTTTTTAGGAAGTCATCCTTCTCCAGTGAGAACTGTACCTGTATGAGAAGGCAATGAGCAGACAAAAGCAATCCACTGGGTGAATCAAAACAGCTTTCAGTAAATATGTGGTGATGGTCTTTTTATGTAAAAAGATGGTCTTTTACGTAAAAAGCCTTTAATACAAAATAGCTGTTCTATTAGAGAATGTAATAGGAAGCTAAAAAGCAGCTTGCCAAAGGAAAGCTTCTTCAGAGTTTGGGGATAATTCTGTAATTACCTTACTGACATAAATTTATGTTCCTATTTAGGAACAAATTCACATATTAATTTTACAGGACTTCTATAAAAAGGAAACAGACTTAAGAAGCAGCAGAGTTTCCTGTAGAGCCATGTAAGGTACTTCTGAAATTCTGAAGCTTTACTCTTCATTTAAATGAATTACAGAAAACCAGACTGGAGCAAAAAACATCTCAAAAATATGTTAAACAAACATTCATTAATAAATGTGTAATTCAGAAGAGAGGGTGAGTTTTCCTTTGCTACTGAACCCACTTTTTCATTTGTGACCTGTAGAACACTTAAGTCACAAGAAGGCCTTTTCCTGAGGATCTGAAAATTTCAAGCAATAATTTCCAGAGAAAAAGTGTAGAGTGAATGCAATTATACCAAATGAACTGCTTTGTATTTTTTAGCAAATATAGTCTACATAGTTCTGACAGTAGTTTTTAATCTTTTCTTACAGATGATATTTCAAATTCTTCCATCAAGAATTTATAATCTGAAGTTTAGATTCAGGGACATGAGGCAGGGTCAAATTTATGCATGTGCCAGGTCTCAGCAAAAAGTCAGTGGATCTCAAGTATAGGTTTAATAAGTTTTAAAATTAAAGTCCTATATAATGATACTCTGAGCACACTGCCACTTTCTTGAACTGGTACATCTATTCTGCCAGCCACTGCAGCATGATTATTATTTACCCTGAGCTGAGCTCAAAAGAATATTAGTTGCTGTCAAGTCACCTTTACACACTGATAATGTCACTTTTTAGCTAAGTGACCAACAGCATGGTTGGTCTGATTGCAGTGGCTGAGGACACCTTCCATGAAGTAGAAGAGCAAGCAGTTCTGAAGATGCCCACCTCAGCTGACTGTAAGTACTACTTAGATTCAAAGGGAAATTAAAAATAGCTGCCACTTTGTTATGAAAAGGCTTTGCCCCTTGGTAAAGCAAATAAGACTATTCCCTGTGACTCAGTAGGAGCAATTTTGATTCACTGAAGTTGCAGATTAGAGAAATTGGATTAAGCAATGTGAACTAAATTTGTTGTAGAAAGAAAGAAAAAAAAGCCACCCAAATGGAACTTGACATTTTATTCTTACCTGGAGGGAAAAATTTAAATGCATTTTAAAGGAGCCTCTTAGTGGTTTCTAAATTTCTACATTCTGATTTGTGTGTTGAAACTTTGGAAAGCATTGAAAATGGCTCTTTGCTTTCAAATTGTGTATGCAAAACACATTGAATCTGCATAAAAATACAGATTATTTAGGGTCCACAAGCCAACTGCTTCTCTTTCAGCATTAATGACCCACTGACTTTTGTGCATCAACATCTAGATCGGGGTCCTTGGCATCCATGAGCAGCTCCTGCAGCGAAAGGAGGCACACATGCATTTCCCAGTGCCCCAGTGCTGGAGTGCAGGGAGGCTGTGATGTGCTGCTAGAGGCTGCAATAACAACCACACACAGCACAGAGGGCCTCTCCCTGCTCCTGTTTATGGCAGGGTCAGGGGAGAACAAAGGAGACATAAAACATGTTTCCCCCTAATTCAACTGCTTCAACTCCGCTAAGGAGAATTCAGGCACGGCTGAGGATTTCAGCACCTTCCTTGGAAAGTTTGCCCCTGGGCTATTAAAAATGGTTTGAATAATAAAATTGACTTGCCTCTTGGTGTCATTATACCCTCTTTTTCAGATCAGCGATTTTATTAACAGATAATGCTGATAGAGATTTATTTTATGAGCTATTTTATGGCTTTTAAATATCATATGCAAGTTTTCAGCTCTTTGGCTCCTTGTAATGCTGATTAGGATGGTGCCTCTTTTTTCCTTCTTTCCCCGGTTTCCAAAGCAACCATGAAATAAAATACAAAAGCACACAGAGACGGAGACATAAATTTTGAAGAAATAATTCTGACATGCAATTTTGAAAGCCCTTTTCAGGTCAGTGTCATTTTTGTAATTGATGTTACCAGTTTTATTTGTCTTCATATTTTCCCCTCAATAAACAATTCAAATATACTTCAAGGATTCCTTTCACAAAAGGCAACTTGAAAACATGTCAAGCAGCTTGATTTGGAAGCTTTTCCAGGATTTAGACAGCTTGCACATTTTACTAAATGGAGCACATTTTTAAAAAGCTACTATTCAACGTAATACTTCAACTGCCAAGAGTAGTAATAGGAAGCCTATACTTACACTTCAGCTCCAGTTTGATGAAGTCTGTGTTCCCCAGATTCTCAAGAAACACCCCATCTGAGGCTGATGTTTTGAAGTAGAAAGAGATGTCTGCACTGGTCTCCCCTTGGAAGGTGGAGAAGTGGAGGTAAGATGATGAAGTAACGAAAGAAGCCGCGTTCCAGTAATTCCCTGCGGAGGACAGACAGGAAAGACATGTTTCAGTGCTCCATTGAAGCTGTTGGAAAAGTTGGAGATTTTAAGGTTCATCTATGCTACAGTACTGTCTGTGCTGAAGAAAGAACCCCAAACACCTTGATTCTTGCTCCCTCTGTTTTGTTCTTCTGAGCATGGTGTGTCAGGTTTCAGAAGACAGAGCATGTTAATGGCAAATTTATTTTCAAGCTCTTAATTTATCATATCTACTCAAACATTATACTCAAATCATATATACTCAAACATTATTTTCTGTTTATTATAGTAAGACTGTCATGGGAGATCAGACAGAGGGGCAAAACTCTAATTTGGTGTCTGCCTCACCTCAGGCACATGCTTTGCTTTCGTATATTGCTGCATGTGTGACTTGTCTTCAAAATTATTCCACACACCTACACCTCCTCCTGAAAGTGTAGCCATGTCTATCAGAAATCAATTAATTTAAATCACAGGAAAAATCCAGTAAATGAAGCTAATCAATACAGACACAATTAACATATGCACCTAATAGTCCCCTAGTACATTCCCAGTGGAGAAATACAATAATTAATAACATCCAAGAACTATTACTGTACTTTAGCTGGAAAGACAGTCAAATTCAGTGCAAGGTAGCATTACAATGCAAAAAAGAAGTCATAAAATATAAGAGCAGGTAAGATTCTCTTAATAAGAAGATCATAAGATTCATAAGAGAAGGCTTTGGGGTGACCTAATTGCTGCCCTTCAGTACCTGAAGGGAGGCAAAAGAAAGATGGAGAGGGATTTCTTACAAGGACATGCAGTAACAGGGCAAGAGGGAATGGCTTCAAACTGATTGCCAGTATGTTTATATTAGATAATAGAAAGAAATTCTTTACTGTGATGGTGGTGAGGCACTGGAACAGGTTATCCAGAGAAGCTGTGGGTGCCCCATCCCCGGAAGTGTTAAACAGGATTCTGAGCAACTGGTCTAGTGGAAGGTATCCCTGTCCACTGCAGGGATGTTGGAACTAGGCAATCTTTAGGGTCTCTTCCAACCCAGGCCATGTTATAATGATTCTGTGATGATGATATAGGTGAAAGAATAAGCCAATGAGAGACTGAAACAACACATTCTAGTTCCATCAGAATGCTTATGTATCCAGCTTCAGAAATGTATTAGAATATAAATCATGATGTCATCATAGCTGAATCCTTAGTATTCCAGCCAATGAACACAATACTACTACTTTCCATTCCAGTCCAAAGTCCCAGATATTGGTTTTCCATTGTTTGATTATTGAAGTAGGTGATAATGCTGTTATTTGTCTGGTTAGCACTGGATGAATATGAATGAGGGTGGTTGAAGCTTCAGAAGATCAGCTGTGATGATGTATTGCACTAGTGGCCCACATTAATTTCAAAAGTTTTATTATTTGAGTAATTATTAGTCTCTATTCAATTTTAAATTGAACATCTGAATTAGCAGATGTTTTCAGATAAATAAAAGCATACTATTGCTTTCCATAGTACTATTCCATACCCTCCATTATAATTCTGCCTCTCTCAAGGATTTAGGGTATTTGGAAAAAGGAGCCATTTTCCATTTAGTTCAATGCATCCCAGGAGGAAAGTTGTAATTGAGATTTTGTATGTTTATATGTGTAAACACATATTTGAGCAGTGAAAATGGGAAGAAATAGGCATTCATGAAAGAGGTATGGGTTTGTGAATTAACCAGTTAGGCTAGATCAGCTAGTTTTCAACATGTATTACTATTTACCCTCCTTATACAAATGAGTAATTTCCAGATTGAATGCTGATAATGATTTCTATAGAAATGTCAATAATCTTCATATCATAAACCTGCATGGGCAAGAAATATCTGCTCATAATTTGCAAGGTTGTTCTCTGAAAGCATGCCTAGTGCCAAAGCAGCACAGATAAAAAAGGTCTTGAATTTTATTTTCATTCGTGGTCTCAGGTCTCTTTCTCTCTCACTTTTCAAAGTGCTCTCTCAATATTAGGGTTGCTTATGGTCTAGATGTGTGAGTGCTTTGTCAATAATCTGTAAACACAGGGTCCAGATGGAGTTTGTATATGCTCTTCCACTTGCAGATGTACCTGGACATCTCTATTTTATTTTCCTGGGACCTACAGATATGCTAGCTGCTGGCAGACCCTCAAAAGAGATTTTACTTTACTGAATAAACTCACATGAAATAAGTGCGACTCAGACAAAAAGCCAGGAATATATTAATACCATCTCTGTTCAGGAGCTAATTTAGATGCCCTGAATAACCTTGTAGAAATGCTTGAATGTCTTTGTAACTTAAATAAGTATTTTAGATCCCTAGCTTTACATTCCTTGAATATTACCACACTTCTTAGCCTAAAATATGAAGAATACATGACAAGTAAAATTGCTGTGAATGTGAGAGCTATAAAATTCAAGTACTACTGGAGATAAATCTCTCTTCAGTGAGAAAGGTGTCCCAGCCACCTCAATTCACCAAAAGAGACCAATACAGTATACTATTATAATTCATATTTCAATAATGTAAATAAGAGTAGCAGCTGCTATATGAAACAGCTATATATTTTGCAGTCCTGTATGTACATATTTTTAATTATCTTGCAAACTTGAAACCATTAAATGCAATTTGACATAGACTTAGTCTGCAATGTTGGGACGCTGAGGGTTAAATCCTTAACTATGAGAGTGCATAACCCAGGTGCTGGTTTGCCTTTACAGGGCAGTACTTTTCAGTTGTATGTGACCAGTTGGACATTTCAGAGTTTTTAGGATTGGTATTGTTTGTGGATTTATCCAGCAGGGTCCAGCCCTATGGCAAAGATTTCACACCTTTACCACAGCACACGTGCAAGAGGACTGGTGCTCCTGAGTGCCCCTGCAGGGCCAGACAGACAGGTGGGTTCGGATGGAGCCTTCATCACCCTCTTATTGAAACAAAAGGAATCAATTTTTATTTGGAGTTACATCCAGCCTGCTGAAGAGCTCCATCACTAAGGATTTTACATTTAATTCAAAATGCTGTGATTTGACTTTGCAGAAAACCTTGTCTGCAGATGTAATTGGTGAGAGGATAAGTATAAACAATGCAGACAGAAATGGAGGATCTGCACCTTGAGAGAGATATCTTCAAAGACTATTCATGAGAAATTCCTATGAAGATAAAATCATATTTTTGCACACTAGTATACATTAATCTCAAATCAGTTTAAGAGGGAAAAGTCTTTTTATTAAGAGTACAATAGAAATGTTTTGCCAAACGTAAATAATGATTTTTATCATAAAATGATATCTTTTGATAAGAAATGGGCTCCCTAAGGAAATACTGTATAAAAATCCACTTTACACACATTTATTAGAGTTTCTTGCTAGGAACTTTTATCAGCCACTATGCCTAAAAATTTCTTTGGTACATTGTCACAATTCTTTCCTCAAGTGATTTGAACATATTGATCCTACAGACATTTTTCTCCCACTTAAGACTGACAAGCTGTGGATGGAGAAAACTGGGACTGGAACTTAAACCAGAGTAGAGGTATGGCAGCAGGAATATCAAACAGAATGTGGGAAAGGGAGTTTTTTAGAAAGAAAACTATAAATGATAAGTTTTTAATTTATAAAAACACCAGACTCTAAAGATGATTTTTATTGTATTATCTGAAATATGACATTATAATTCTACTTTATTCTTTGAAACCTCAACTATAATTTTGTAATGAAGATCACAGCTCTGTTGGGAAGTTCAGTTGGTTTAAACTCACTTGGTGTTTAAATTTGATTTAAACCAATTAAACAGGTACAGAGCATGCTGCTGTCATGGCAGCACAAATACAAATCAATCAAGACACCAGACACGCCTTTTCAGTTGTTTGCAACTCAAGATAAATGTGGAGATCCCCAAGGCATGGCTGTGTTTTTCATAAAATTGCACGTTTCCTGGTGATGGCAGCAAGCCTTGGGACACAGGGCACGCAGAGGCAGGAAAGGGAATTGCTGACCAGAGTGCCACAGGAAACTGCCATGGATGTTTGCCTGGATCCAGGCAGGAACCAGAGCCATAGTTGAGACAGAGGTGCTTCAATGCACCAAGTAACTCTATTTGATTCTGTTTCAATTTGTGCCAAGGTTGCTCACAGCTCTGCCTCTGCTGGGAAAATTAAAACCCAACTTGTTAAGCTCCTGCAAAACACTCTTACTGCTTTCTCATTAGTTTTGCTAACCCTGAGTTATGGTGTTCTTTGTAATTTGTATGATACAAAAGTGTCACTTCTACTGCTCCAAAAAGACTCAGTCTCAGACAGGTGGCTGCACTATAATTGTAAAGGTATAATTTTTACAAGAACGGCGATAGTCTGTAGCCACAAGAAACCAGCCCTACTACAAAAGTTAGTGAGAAGGGACATCTTAAATCTTAGATAAAAAGCTGAACTAAGACTTGAAGATTTTTCCCATGAAGTCCCACCTCAGTGAGAAGGAAGGAGACCTATAATACTGACAGGGACAAACACACTTTGTCCTGAGTTATGCAACATCAACAGGCATCTTTAAATGTGTGGCAGCTCTGTAACTTGAAAACATAGAGTCACTGGCCTTATAGTAATCAGCCTTTCAGCTTCTTCCTTGCAATATTTCTGTTCAGAGCTCCCTTGCTGGTTCCCATCAATATCTTCTTTCTTAGCATGATTGAAATTCATGCTTTAACACCATCAATTTCACTTTTACATTTAAACCCTATTGAAATGGATAATGGCAATACCAGAACTGTAAAAGACATCAGTGCTTTTAGCCCTGCCAGGCAATCGCACTAGAGAACGAATGCTGCAGTGTCAGGCAGCTCTTATGTATTACAATAGACCAAAAACCTCCAGGGCCCTCATCTGCAGCAAAACAGATTTTCTATCAAAACCATTATGTGAATAAAATGTAAGAATAGTCTTCTATTTCAGAGGAGATGGATGTGTGAATGGAAAACTGTTCTGTGGCA